CTCCATGTTCTCCCCCATTTTTGTTCCTCCTGACCATCACCCCACTTTAGTTCTCTATCAATGCCACCCCCACCCCCCCAACTCCCACCTTCCTTCAGCCATCCTTCCTTCTATAACGAAGTTCCCTCAAACCAGAGAACTGAGAGTCTCTAACAAGAAAATGGCAGAGGAGAGAATGAGAATAGCATTAAACTGGAAATTGAACTCCAAATCCACTGGAATGTGGGCCCCAGAGAATCTCAAACCATCAGAACTGGAAAAGGCCTTGGAGACCATCTAATCCAGACCCCTCACTGGACAGAGGAGGAAACCGAGGCCAAGAGGAGAGAAAGCGCTTGCTACAATGATCTGCATTGCAATCAATAGATTGAAATCATTTTATTCCTAGTGAAGCCAAGATGCTGCCCTATGTGTTTTAGCCCCAAATAGTAACAACAGGGTATTCCAAGGACCCCTTCTGTATTCTGTTCCCAGTGTCTAAGTAGGGAATGCTTGGGGTTGGGGGCGGGGGGGAGTAGCAAAGGTAACTCTTTAACTGGCTTTCTATCAGGAAAAATACAGAAGCTTATTTTCCCCTGCCTCAGAGCTCAGTTGCAGACAGCATTTCAGACTCAAGCACCATCTCAGCCCTGATGTGGTATATGCCACGTGTAGCTCTTAGAGGAAAATTAATTTCGTTCTAGTACAGAGAAGGCTCAGATTATCAAGCAGCAGTCTTCTGATTAGTAATAACAGGGAAGATGTTCCCCTAAAATCCAAACACCATCCCCCTCCTTTCCCCTCCCTTCCCTTCAAGGACCTTCAGAAATTGTCAGTGAAGTCCAATCCTCTCAGTCACAGATTGAAAAACATCTTCCATTTCTATAGGGTTTTAATCAGGGACCATTTTGATTTATTTTGTATCCCAAGTGCTTAGCACAATGCTTGGCACATACTAGAACCCAGGTGTTCTGACACTAGGTCCAGCCCTCTTTCTTCTATGTCAGGCAACCTCGAAGGGCAGGTAACAGTTCTTTCCCCCTTCCCCTTTCCCCCCTCCTCCCTCCCTCATGTATATTAAGCTGCATTGAAAGTCAGCAGGGGGGCAGGGGGAGAGACACATAGTAAATGTATTTTCAATCATTAAAAAAGAAAGCAGGGGGGCCTCGATTCTCTGAAACAACAGGAGGAGGGACCAAGATATTTGTGACTCTGATTTTAAGACTCTTTGTATGCCACACAATTTTCTTGGGGCTTTTTGAGTGCAGGTATGTTCCATCCAGACATTCTGGTAAACAAGCAAATAATAAGCTCAACCAGTCTAAATTCCAGGGCCATTTTGGCCCTTGTTCCTTCTCCATCCACTTAGTTTGTGATTCAGAGGCCTCTTCACACAAAAAAAAATTGGGAGGAGAGAGGCAGGGTTGGGAGAATGACCTGCCATCAACTCCCCTTCATCCTAGGCAGGAAGCACATACAATGGCAGAACTCAGAGTCCTGGAGAAGCTTCCCAAGAACAAGAACAATATGCCCCCATATGTGATATGTGGCTGCTCCCTCCATCAAAATCCTCTTCCTGCAGCCTAGATGGGGTATTCCAAGGTACCTTAAAAACAGGGATCATAAGATGTCTGAGTGAGAGTGGTCCTGACAGATTCTCCACTTCAATTCCTTTATTTGTCAAATTTCAGAGGAAGTTGCCATCCACATCCTCTTTCCTATTGGGGCCCATTTACCTCTTTTTCCCCTTGTAGCACCTGCCTTAGTCTCCATTTTTCAAAGACTGCTCTCAGTGTCTCAGCAATGACACGGTGGTTCTTTCCATTTCCTCAGATTTAGTTTTTGAGGGCCTGCTGACTTAGACTTCTTGTGGGTAGCTAGGTGATCTTATCATCTCACCTGTATTGGGCTTCCATTCCCAGTTAATCAACGTTATTCTAGCCTTCCCCAGTCAGATTATTCTCCTTAGTAAAAACAAACAAACCAAAAAAAGAACCAAATTAAGTTGAGTAGTTCTGCCTTTTCTTTAAGAGAGAGGAGAGCTGCAAATTTCAGCTCCACCTAAGAAAAACACTTCCTAAGAATGAGGGCTATCCCAAAGGAGAATGGGCTACCTTGGGTACCTTGGTGGCAGGTTTCTCTTTAGAATGGATTCATGTTTAGGTAGAGGTTGGACTGGTTATTTGTAGAGTATACTCGATGTTGACCCGAGCAGGTGACTGTCCCAGTGAAGGGCTTTTTCAATTTGGAGATGCTATGAATCTGTAAAAGAAGAGAGGAGGGGAAGGCAGGAGAAGTTGGGGTCCTGAAGTGGATCACATCAGCAAAGGAGTGTAGTGGAAATAAAAAGAAAAGAATTGAATAATGCCCTACACACCCCCATGAGTCCGTAAGGGCACCCCCACATTATAGTACTGTTCATATTGCCCAAAGTCATGAAAGAAACGTCCCCGTGCATTCAAGGGGAGGGGGGGGAGGGAGGGGAGCATATTATATATTTTAGTTCTCCATCCAGAGTGGTTAATATATAAGAATCTTAATCCTTAAATCTTCAACTATACAGAAAAGCTCAGATTTCCAGGATGACTTGGCTTGCAGACTGCCCCAATCTGACTACTACAACAGGCAAAAATATGCAATCAGACCTCATTTCTCCAAAATACCCCAGGATTGGGGGGGGGGGAGTAGAGAGGGGCTGGAGTTCTGGCTAATAGAATTTTCTGGCCAGCTAGGTGAATCTGAAATCCCTTTTGCCTTCACCCTTTTAAAATGTATTAATCATGTTCTGGTCTCAGTAAACACAGGCTAGTCTAGTGAGCATGGCTGACCTTTTATCATTATTATTATTATTATTATTATTATTATTATTATTATTATTATTATTCTCCTCTTGGAGAGAGGGAGGGGATGATCATCATTCTAAACATAATCCGCAGAGGCCAGGCCACCCAATGGAAGCAGAACAGGTTCAGAAGGTTGGGACAAATGTGCTTTGACTCCCCTCGCCTAATACACACACACACACACACACACACACACACACACACACACACACACACACACTCACTCACTCACTCACTCACTGGTCATTGGTCTCTTTTTCTACTAAAACCTCCAATGTGAGCTGGATCTAGCTTCATTTGTTCTTTTCTCCTAAAGTGAGGTGCTTGAAAATGTTTTTTTTTAATCCAATGATGGATTCTGCCAAATGGAGGTTTTACTATATAGCCCCCCAAAAAACAGAAAAGAGAAAAGGGTGATTACCCCTTCCTATGGGGAGAAATGCAAGGAGCATCCTTCACTTTGCTTCCCCTCCCACCTCTCTCCAAGGCTAGCAGTTAGAGGCTGCTCACTTAGAATCTGCGGCAAAAATTGGGGAGGGCTGGAGTGGCCCCGGCTCAGCACCACCACCACCACCACACACACACACACACACACACACACACACACACACACACACACACACGTTATCTGCAGCCTGTAGCATTCTAGTCTCTTTGTACAGCGCCCCCTGCTGACCAATTGAGTAAGCGGCTGGAGGAACAGAAGCTACTTAGGCAGGAATGTCTGTCTGGTGGAATGAGTGAAAGGCTTCCTCACCTTAACTCATAGAAAACACTGGCGTGGGGGTCAAGAGACCTGGCCACTAGTGTCAGCTCTGCCACTAACGAACTGTGTAACCTCCGACAAGTCACTCACAACACCGCGCCTCAGTTTCCTTCTCTGTAAAAAAAGGGGGGGGGGAAGTGTTGTTGATCACTTTTTCCTTTCAGCTTGGACTTTGGGTAATTTCCAGACCACTGTATCTGAGTCTGAGGCTAACAAAGGGGGAGAAGAGAAAGAGAGGGGGACAGGAGGCCCCTTAAATCCTTACCAGTGAAGCTCCTATGAGTGATGACCAAGCATGAATATCTGTCCCCATGTCAGCTATGCTTCACTGGCTGGCACATTGGTCCTAGGGGTCCGACAGGCTGGGGCTGAGCCCTGCCTTAGTCTTTGCCTGTAGTTTCTAGGGGTCCTTGGGTGGACAGCAGGTGAGCCTTGGCCTTCTGCTAAGAGATTTCCATGTGGTCTCTGCTGGTGAAACTGCCCTCCAAGTGGGTGGCCAGGCTTCCTAGCATTTGGCTGGTCAAAGGCAGAAGTTCCTGAGTTTAACACTTGTGGCTGCCATCTCTCAGAGGAATTGGCCTTCGGCCAACAGCTCTGGAAGGAGGAAGACTCCAGCACACTCCCCCCTCCCCGTGCCAGGACAGCCTTTGGAGTGTGGGGTGGGGTCGCTTAGAACCTTCTAGAGGCAGACTGGGGCTTGGAGCTCTGCGGGCTGAGCTGAAAAGGACAGCGAGAAGCTGGGAATGCACTAGACTGGCTGTATTGGCTGCGGCTCCAACTTCCTTCCCTGGCTTCCCAAAGGGTACCCCAAGAACCCCAAAGTCTCCAAAGTCTCCCAATCAAACCTCCCTCCTACCCAAACCCCTTCCAAGCTAGCAGGGGTTAATGGTGTCAGCTATGACGTGAGGATCCCAATTTGCCCAGATTTTTTTTTAATCTGCAAACTCCTCTCTCCATCTCCCCCACTCCCCCCCCCAACAACCATGACTTTGCAATGAGCAGAAAAACTCCAAAACATCTGCAGCAACAAGAAAAAGGCAATTTTGCTTTTGGTAGCCATTCTTCCTGCAGCCCTGGTTTTGCCCTTTGCGGCGGAGGGAGGGAGAAGGGGATCGGTGGTCGTTGGTTTGAGATACTAGGGCCCCCCCTTTGCTGAGCACCCTTTCCCCCAGCCACTGGCGCAGCTGCAAGAGCCGCAGTAACAGCAGAGGCGCCATCCTAGCACCCCGACGCGCAAAGCCAGACTCCGAAGGGAGGGGGGAGAGGCGAGACAAAGAGGAGGGGAAGGGGGGGCTGAAAATCTGGAAGCAAACTGTGTTGCCAGATAACTCACCCTGCTCCTCCTCCTGCTCCCCCTCCCATCTCCGCCCGCCTCCCTCCCTCCTTTTTAGTCCCCTCCCCTCGATCGCAGCTTCGTCGTCTCAGAAGGTGGGCAGCCCCAGCCACACTGCGTCTGCAGAACCCGGGTAGCAAAATTGCAGGCAAGAGGCAGAGAGCTCTTAGAGCGGAGGGTGCGGGCAGGCGAACAGGAGCAGAGACCAGAAGGCTAGGAACCAGACTGGGAGGTAGGGGTAACGGAAGGCAGGGGGACAGGGCAGGGCTTCCAACCCTTTTCCCTGTCCCTCGGTATATCCGAAACCCTTTTCCCGAGCCCGTGCTGAGCCCCTCGGGAGAGGCAGCTCTTCTCCTCTTCCTCCTCCTCCTCCTCCTCTTCCTCTTCCTCCTCCTTCTCCTTCTCCTCCTCCTCCTCTTCTCCCCGGGAATTTCTCCCTTCGCCTCCAACCCAAAGCGACGCTAAACCTAGCTCTCATTCCCCGACAGAGACAGAGGGAGACAGAGATAAAGACCGAAGGCTACATCCCTTTCGGGTCCTCCCCCCTCTGGGTGAGGGTTCTCCCCTGCCCGGGCCCTTCCCCCTCTCCTCGCCCAGTTAGTGGCAGGCTAGGGATCTCCCGCCCAAGAGAGCCCCGAAGCGCTCTCCTACGCCGCCGCTGCTGTTCCAGTCTGACCCTGTATCCCAGTTCCTCGTGTCTGTCCTGTACAGGAGGCACGATGTTGGCGCACAGGTGGAGCGGGATCCTGGCTGCGCTGGTGCTGCTTTGTCTCGCCGGCCACGCGCAAAGGTAAGGTGGCCCACGGGGGCCGGGAGTGGGACCCTGGGGAGGGGAGGGGAGGGGGCTCGGACCGGGGAAATAAGGTCCCGCCAGCCAGGTAGCCCCCAGACCTCGTTGTGAGTTCTAGGAGGGCGGGGAGAGGGGAGAGGGGAGAAGGAGCCAGAGAGCGGAATAGCTGCGCAATCCAGCTCCAGAAAAAAACGGGGTCCCTAGTCTTATCGTTATAGCCATAAACGAGTGAGTTCCTCTCAGAAAAGCATATACGGGGCCCCCCCCGCGCACTTGCAGCCTCTCTGCAGCCCCTGCGCAAAAGCGCAGAGACACCCCCCCCACATACATACACACACACACACACACACACACACACACACACGGGTGGCGCCCACAGACGCAGAAAGGGAGGGGGGACTGGGGTGTGCCCACTAGCCCGAGGGAGGAGGAGGAGGGGGGGATAGGGGAGGGGGGAGTGTAAAATCAACCATTTGAACCTGTTACTGCAGTGCCTGATCATATGCGCAAACGCACACACCATGCGCGCACTCAGACAAGCCTTTGACCCACCCACACGGGCAAGTGCGCATACACTAGACCATATAGCTGCATACACAGGTGTGTGTCTAAAGACACCCCTCATCTCCAGAAATCGATAATGGCCAATTATTACTGTCCAAAAGCCCAAGCTGTGACTGAAAAGGGTCTCTAGCCCCTGCACTAATGAACAGGAGATGGCTACCAGACAGGGGCAGATTGCACGTGTATGTGCGTAGAGGAGGATTCTTGGGCAAACTGCGGCTTAATAAACACGAAATAGAACCGCTTCCCTATCCAAAATTAAGCCGCAGCACAGACCCTGGTGTGTTGGGGGGGGGGGGGAGTAGTCAGCGCTTTCACACCACTGACTCCTGGGCACCTTGACAACCTGGGTTCTGACGAATAGTCTTGGCGTTTCTCTAGGGGCGGGGTTCTGGGCGCATCCTCGCTCCTTGTAGACTTGCCCCTCCTATCCACCACCGCATCAAAATCATTAGCACAGCCTCTTCAATGCAGACTTTCCTTATTCGAGGCTGCAGGCTTCCAAGGTACAAATGGAGCTGTCTATAGTAAGCCTTTAGATCCTTAAATGAAGAATTCTGCTTACATAGATAGGAAGAACATTCAAGTATAAAGGTGATATATACATATATACATATATATGTATATACATCCCAGGACCAATAAACACGGGCTGATCAAATACATATACACTGTGGAAATGAGCAATCTTGGAAATAGCCCCAGGGTTCCCCTATCCATTTATGAACAATTAATGTATAAATGTCGATTGTGGGAGTGCTCCAAAGTTCATTTTTCTGCTTGACAACGTTGAATAATTGATCAAATCCAGCCGTAAGTATATACCTGAAGGTAATGAAAATGAATAAATAAATAAAATTAAATAAATAACAGGGCACAAAGATGGGAACAGACAGAGGCGCTGTCTGCAACTGCACGCACCCAGAATACAGACAGGGCATTAAAATCAAATTAATTCTCCTGATCAACAGATGATGAAAAGATGCCCAGGAAAGATTTAGTTGTCATTCACACAAAAGAAGAGACATCCTGAGCTTGAAGCTGAGCATTATTTTGCAAGAAACCCTAACCCTAACCCTAACCCTAACCCTAACCCTAACCCTAAGGAACTCCATGAGTATGCAAAACGCCCAGACACACACACACACACACACACACACACACACACACACACACACACACACACCCCTAGATCCAAACATGCAAACAGAGCCAGTGTCAAGATCCCCAGTTGCTGCACCTCGACACAGTGGCTTTAATCTGCAAACACAAATGCTTCTACTCCCCTCCCAAAGAGAAAGCAATGTACCCCAAGATCTTGAGACAGAGCAGGATGTGATATGATTGGATAAATACATTCTCCAGGACAGGAGCCTCTCAGCTGCATACTTGTCATATACCTTTAGACATTCATAAACACACAGTTCTGTCATAGGTTCATACAACATACGTGTGCACAATGGCACCAGGACATATGGATCTACCAGCAAAATCCTCAAGCCTATTTTGATGCCAAAGATGGCAATAGGAACATGGCATTTCAGGTTTAGAGGACCAGACTGACCGGGGAAAGAAGGGGTATATTTTGAAAGATGTGGCTCTAGGGTTGGAAGGCTGTTTTCCAGCTTGGGGGGGGGGGAGAGGGAAATAGTATCCAGGGTGTGAGGCCCCCAGGGTCCTGGGGAAAAAAGCAAAACACAAAAGGATGCAATAATCACTCCGGGAGGGGGGGGTTGCTGTCCCTTCTGCTGTATCCGATACACCACCTCCTGTTTTGTCTCCCTGTGTTTAATTAACTGCCCCCTAGCCCCCCCCCAAATCTTAAGGACTCAGAAATCCAAGGCAGTGGGAAGTTCACACATAAGCACGCACACTAGCGCAGAGACAGGGGCACATTCCATCCCAGCTTTTGACTACAGACTACTAGCTGGGATGGCTCTGCTAATAGGAGAGAATGGCTAATTATTGTCAGCCAAAGCTGATGCGGGGGGGGGGGGGGGGGGGGGGTGACAAGATGCTAGAGACGCTAGTGGAAACAGTTCTCTCTAGAACTCCCTGAGGAAAACAAAGCATAAAGGGAAATAAATCTTCTGTATAGACCTGAGCACGAGAAAGAGGGGAGGGGAGGAGAGGAAGGGAGAAGTTGAATTGGGATATACAGAGAAATGCAAAAACAGGTGGGAGGAAATTAGGAGAACTAGCCACATGAATGGTATCCAGAAGCCTGCCTGGAGAGAAGAGAAATGTGACCACGGAGCGGGAGAACCAAGGTGCACCACCTGGTGCACCTGCCACAGAAACTGCTCGAAGAGTTACCCACACATGTGCAGATGTGTACACATGCCCTCACACACATAAAGCGGGTTGTTTATCTCCGGAGCCTAATAAAAATTGGGATGAGGGGGGAGGGCGGAGGGAGAAAACACACATGAAGACGGGGAGCTTGGGAAAGATGTAAGGGGCAGATTACACGGAAACCCTGGGCTAGGGCGTAACTTTGGGAAATGGCCCAGGGTCTTTTCTGGTCCCCTAGTGGGGAGCTTCACAAGTGACCCCCTCCTTTTTTCAAGAGGCTGTGTCGGGCTAATCAGGAATGATGAGGCAAGGGGAGGGGAGGGGATGACATGAGAAGTGAAGAAGGCAGGAGAGAAGAGGGGTGAAGGAGGAGACTGCATACGTTTGCCTCTACAAGGGCGGGAAGGCGGGGCCGTGCGAGGGGGCGGGGCGGAGGTGGGAATAGTCCTCCCTCTGTGGACACGCAGGTATGGTGCAGTGCCCTTTTAGACACAAGAAGCCTCCCTCGGGTTTTGGCCCCTAACATTAACTTCTTTTTTTCAGCGAAACTTCTGCCAACATGACTCAGGTCAAAGAGATCGTGGACCGCCTGCTGAAGGGATACGATGTCCGTCTCAGACCTGATTTTGGAGGTAAGCCATGTTGTACTCCCTTTTGCCGAACACCAGGGCGCTTTGTGGTCAAGGGAACAGAAAGGAGATGTAAGCCAGTCAGCGACTGGCTCTTGCCAGTTTCCCAGGCAGTGGACTCCCCCTATTTTCCATTGCTTCAGATTCTTTTTACATTTGCCTCCCATGCCACTCTCTTCACCCAGACCCTTGGCTTATTAGCTCTGCCCAATTGTCCCCCTCCCCTCGCCTTCCCTCATCTCCTTTCCCTGTCCCCCTTGGCTCTGCCTCCCATAACAATCATAATCATAAGCGCTTTCATTGAAATGCCGCTCTAAGATTCGCAAAGCGCATTACATGTCTCATCACACTGCCCCCCCACCTTGCCTTCCTCTCTCCCATCCCTTCCTTTTGCGTGGGTGGCTCTTTGCCCCCAGCAGCGCTCCTAGCCAGACCAGTCCCCTCCACTGCAGAGGAATGGGTGTGGACAGAATGAATATGGCCAGGGCCCAGAACTCTGCCCAGACAGCTGCAGATGGTCAGGGCACCTAGAGCTTCTGTATACACACAGGGCCCAAACTTAGGCTGTCTGCCTGGCTCCAGCTTCAGCCATGATTGCCCTCCAACATATAACATATGACATATGACATGAATGTCCAAGACCCACCTTAGTTAACATGCTCCTCTTCTTCCCTCTCTGTGCCTGATGTTATAGCAGTGAGGAAGCCTGAAGCTATCCCAATCCAATCTAGCAATCCAACCTGCACTAACAAAATGCCTACTATACATAAGGCATGCAAATAGGCACTGGAGATACAGGGACAAAGACTTAGTTGTTTGCATTTTCCTGGGGTGGGGGGAACACATGAATGAATGAATGAATGAATGAATGAATGAATGAATGAATGAGAATTTATTATGTGGTTACTATGCTCTGTATATCACATGTACACAAATAATTGAATATATGCTGATGGAGGGAGGTGGGAACAAGTTCTCCAAAGCCCCTCAGTCCAAATCCTCTCCTGGGCACTCAGGAATTGAGCAAATCCCTCATCCCAAGAGTCCAGGGGGAGCTGGACTGTCGTGTAGATGGGTACTCATGTGTCAAAGGGATGTATCACCTTACAGGGAAAGGTTCCCAGTCTCTCCTAAGGTAGAGTCAGCAGACATTTCTTCCAGAAATGGGTTCAAGTCCCACTTGGAAGTATGCGGGGAAGTCACTTCCCCTTCTTAGCATATGCAGTAGCATTGTTGCATTTACAGAATACTATCCCCACTTCATTGATTCCCCTTCAGATGTGAACGTGGAAGGATATTTCCTGGATTTGTGCAAAGTGGGTTTTGCCATTGTCTTGTATAGAAAGCCTACATGAGCCTGGGGACATGTGCAACATCCATAAGGGACCACAAGCCTACAGAGCTTGGCTCCAATTCTGCCAAGGCCTTTCACACACCTCTCATTTATGTAGCCCAGCACTGAGGAGGAGGGAGGCATGCAAAGCATAGCAAGCTCGGATTATGCATCTATTGTGTGCAAAGACTTCTGGCACTCACAACATTGAAACCAGTCTGGTGGGGGGAGTAGGGAGGGGAGGGGGAGATCGGCACATGTAAACAGATGGCACATGTAAACAGACGTACCTAGGGACTGTCATCGTGACTGGCCTCAACTGGAATTGAAGGCCTCCTGGACACCGAAGAGCAAAGGTAAGAAAAATAAAAGCGAGGCATGCAGAGTTACACAATTGCATACTCATCTCCAGTACCTGTGCACCTGCTCAAATAAGAGCTGCCTGCCTGTAACACTTGATGGTTTGCAAAGCCCTTTACATTTGTTCACCACAAGCCTGAGAGGTAGACCATAATTTGCCAGTGAGGAAAGAGGCAAACAGAGGTAAAGTATCTTGGTAAAGGTCACACAGGTAAGTGAAGGAGTGACAGACCTGGGATTTGAACCCCAATCCTCTACCTCTCAATCCAGTAGGCTTTTGTTCCTACCACGTGTCACAGGCCAGTAGTGGGGGGTATGGGAGGGGAAGACTTAAGATACCAAAAGGAAATGACAGATTTAGTCAAAAGACATTGAAATGATTCTTTGAAGGCAGATGCTGAGAGTGGTGAAGCAAAAAGTCAAGGAAGTGAGATGAGGGCCAAAAATGAGACTACAGGCAATGAACAGATGAAAAGAGCTGGATTAATAGGGCAGGAACCAGAGGGAAGAAAAGCAAAAAGAAGAGAACCTTAGCTGGTGGGAAAGATAGACTGAGCTCCACTCAGGAAGGGCAGAGAGGAACAACACAGGGGCAGCAGAACAAAATCTGGACCTCTGCTTCCTTAACTGAAAGATGAGGGCATGAACCACATGGCCTCTTCTCTAAAGGCAGGAGGTTGTAAAATATGGCCTCTGAGGTCCCTTCTAGCTCCAGATCTAGGATCCTAAGTGTGCCTCTAAGCGAGCCACTTAAAATCCATGGGCCTCAGTTTCCTCTTCTGTTAAAGGGAGAGATTGGAGTAGATGGCCTCTGAGGTCCCTTTGAGTTCTAGACCTAGCCACTTAAGATCCCTGGGCCTCAGGTTCCCACCTGTAAAAAGATGGAATTTGCTAGATGGCCACTGAGGTCTCTTTGAGCTCTAGACCCAGCCACCTAAAATCCCTGGGCCTCAGTTTCCTCTTCTGTTAAAGGGAGAGATTGGAGTAGATGTCCTCTGAGGTCCCTTTGAGCTCTAGAACTAGCCACTTAAAATCCTGGGACTCAATTTCCCCTCCTGTAAAAAAGATGGAGTTTGCTAGCAGGCCTTTCTAGACCTATCCACCTAAAATCCTTGGGCCTCAGTTTCCTCTTCTGCAAAAATATAGAGTTTGACTAGATGGCCTCTGAGGTCCCTTTGAGTTCTAGACCCAGCCACCTGGGCCTCAGTTTCCTCCTCTGTTAAAGGGAGAGATTGGAGTAGATGGCCACTGAAGTCTCTTTGAGCTCTAGACCCAGCCACCTAAAATCCCTGGGCCTCAGTTTCCTCTTCTGTTAAAGGAGGAGACTAAACAAGATGGCTCTGAGGTCCCTTCGAGTTCTAGACCCAGCCACTTAAGATCCCTGGGCCTCAATTTCCCCACCTGTAAAAAGATGGAGTTTGACCAGATGATCTCTGAAGTCCATTTGAGTTCTAGACCCAGCCACCTAAAATCCCTGGGCCTCAGTTTCCCCACCTGTAAAAAGATGGATTTTGCTAGATGGCCTTTCTAGACCCAGCCACCTAAAATCCTTGGGCCTCAGTTTCCTCTTCTGTTAAAGGGAGAGATTGGAGGAGATGGCCTCTGAGATTCCTTTGAGTTCTAGACCCAGCCACCTGGGCCTCAGTTTCCTCTCCTGTAAAAGGAAGGGATTGGATGAGATGGCCTCTGAGGTCCCTTCTGTCTCTAGATCTAGACTCCTATGATCATGTAATCATTCAGTCCATTACTTATTAAACACCTGGTGTGCCTGACCTAGGGTTCTAGGGACTGGGAACACAAGCACCCAGAATGATCCTCCTAACCTCTCAGGAGGACCCACTGTCTGCTCTGCACCCCCCACACACACACATACACACACACTTCTCCCTTTCAGATGCCCACATCTGAGGGGCCAGATGAGGTAGCCTTGGTCATGCTAGCAGGGATGATGCAGCTTCACAGCCCACTGAAAGCTGCCCCTCTCCATCACCTTCCCCAAAGGCCCCTCTCCTTCTGTCCCGCTTTCATTTTCTCTGCTAGGGTCAGAAACCCAACTATCTTATGGGATGGACCTGATGCCCATTAGGAATGCATGAGGGACTGGAGAGGAGGCTGACTCCAATGTCACCAGAGGCCCCAGGAGATTGGAACAGGAGAACAGTGGCAGAATGAAAGGCAGTGAGTGTGTGCCCCCTGTGTGCAGAGCCCAGCCCTAGGCACTGCAGGGGAGCCTCCAAACCTCGAGAGGGGGAAGACAGCTTCTCCCCACCTACCACCTGCCACTCTTTCACTGGCCCCTAGCAAAGCCTTCATGCTGACTCTCAGTAGAGAGAGTGCTCCACCTCCTTGGGCCAGGCCCCTAGCTCCAGAGTCCCTCCCAACTTCTCCCCAGTCAAAGTCTGCCTGTCTTTGGCCCAGCTCCTCAGGGTTCAGCTCTTTCTGCCTAGACAAATGGATAATGCTAAGACCAAAAGTAGTGGGTTAGTGGGAAGACCCCTGGAATAAAAGGCAGATACCCTGGCATTTGAGTTCACTCTCTGTCACTAGCTCTATATGTGTCCTTGGGCAAGGTTGCTCCCCAACTCTGGTCCTGTTTCCCCATCTGTAAAAAGAGATGAGAGAGACCAAATTACTCCCAAACATCCTTTGAGCTTTGATAGTTTTGGACTGAATGAGTAGATTAATATATTTGCATGATAAACAGAGGCCACTGAAGATCCCATTCCCTAGAGCAAGAGCTCAGTCAGATGTGGGCATTTAGGCATCGGGGTAGCAGAGAGAGAAATTTTGGAGTTAAATAAAAGGGGGCATTCCAAGCAGAGCTGTCTCTGGGACAGAGTTTGGAATGACTGCCCAAGATCCCATGCTTAGAAGGGCCCCTGGCTGCCACACAAGCCAGCCACCTGGTATCTGAGTAAGAAAGGTCCTGCAAGGGAGACAGACAACTAAGCCAGTAAAAAAAGAGAGACAGAGAGAAATACAAAAGGCGGCGGGGGGGGGGGGAGAGAGAGAGAAAGAAAGAAAGAGAGAAGAAAAAGGGAGAGAGAAAGGGAGAAAGATAGGGAGAAAGGAGAGAGGGGGGAGAGGGAGAAAGAGAGATGGGGAGAAAGGAGAGAGGGGGAGAGGGAGAAAGAGAGACAGGGAGAAAGAAGGGGGGAGAGGGAGAGAGAGAGAGAGAGAGGGAAAAAGAGAGATAGGGAGAAAGGAGAGAGAGAGATAGGGAGAAAGGAGAGCAGGAAGGAGAGGAAGAGAGATAGGGAGAAAGAGGGGGAGTGAGAGAGATGGAGAAAGAGATAGGGAGAAAGATAGA